ATTATTATCATTATTATTATTATAATTATTACTATAATTATTAGTATTATTATTATTATTAAGATCTCTCAAAAGGTAAAGAAAAAAAAACACTGATATCGCCTGGGAAAGTAAAGAACGAAAAAAATAGGAATGAAAATGAGAATCCAATTGTACTTGCTTTGCTGATCGGACAAGAAGCCATATGATTGTCTCGGACGAGCATCGCCAATAACTTGATGAATGTTTTCAACGGTGTTACATCTCCTCGTGTATTCTCTTGCCGTTGTGTTTTGCCCGTGGGCTTAAACCTTAACTTAAGCCATAGATTAAAACCTTAAGTCAGTGGCATCAACATTTCCGCTGTTTACAGACGATTAATTTTTTCAAAGTGAGCGGCTCGTAGCCACTTTGATTTTATCATCGAATTGTGATAAGCATGAAAAATTGCAACTTTTCGCAAAGTTTCAAAAAATTCTGTGGAGTGGGTTCATAACCGCCTTAAAACTTTCGATAAATTAAGATGGCTCTGAGCCCACTAAATTTGCTTCCATTGCAAAGAGCAGTCTCAAGTATTTTCGCCACTGGGAAACCCAACCCGATCACAGGAAACAAACACAAAATTAGGTTTGCGTAGAAGAAACAATAATTTGTGCGGTGAAACATGTCGAATTATGTTCATGAAGATGACTGCGAAATCGAAGTTTTTGCTCGCTCGTCCAAAAAAGGCGCAATTGGTCAAAATAGCCTTCTTAGTTTTTCGTCTAGCGCGGTTAATTTTCACGGGCCAAACTGGCCATTTAGATATGGTATACATATAGCATAGCTCTTTCTTTAGAACCTTTTTTTGTTGAGAGATTCGTATACTAGAAGAGTTATGACCCTCTAAAATGAGTTGAAATTATACATGTAAACTAATTGCGATGGTTGTATTTTTCAAACGGCCAAGAAGTAGACAAAACATATTTACTTCAAGATGACACTTTGCTCAGAGGAATGATCAAAGTGTAAGTTACAAACTGTGTGAATATGAAATCCAGGCAAGTTCCCTTGTTTCTGTACTGACCTGTTGAAAATGTGCAATTTTGCATAAATTCCATCGGCCATCTTGGTCGATTGAGCGGTATTTCGAACTTTTCTAGATTTCACAAAAAATGTGAAGTCGCTGGAACTTTGAAGGTATGTTTCTGAAAATACTTCACCAAAAAGGTCTTTTTAACGCAATAAAAGAAGATCCGAATTTTCCGACCTGTCGTCGGATTCTCCATATTTACAGGCAGTGGCTCTTAAAAACAATGTATAATAAAGAAATTATTAGGCTCGGTTTTTGTGATATCCGAAATAATCAAAACTATAACAATCAGCTGCCCGATTTAGCATTAATTGGACAGTGTACGCGTCATGCTTGTAATTGGACAGTACGCGTCGTTTTGCGTGCGCTGTTGCGGTGCACTTTGTTGAGTAAACCGCTGTGTTTTTCAGCATTCATAACAACGTTTAATCGTTCCGTGCTCAATCGATGGTTTGTTCGTTTCTCGGTTTTTGTTATCAGCCTGAGCCTTCGGCTTCGGCTGATAACACTTACCTTGACCTTGATTATTCCGGATATCACAGAAACCTCATCCAAAAATTGTTTATAATTCGCTTGCAACACATTGTAAAAATTGGGTGTCTGTTGGATCTTATTTCGGGCTCAAAACTAACTTCGATATATTTTGTTTTTCATTCAGTGGTACCATGAGGACCTGAGCTACATATAAATATTATTGAAAGATTCTCAAGTAGTTCTTGTGTGTTGTACGTAGTGATCAAATACTCAGGAAATTCAGCATAACTGGAAGTGGATATTGAGCCCAATCAGGGCAAAATCGTTTTTCGCAAAATTCTTCCAAAAAAGGCTGTATTAGCAGAGACTATGGTCCGTTTGTTTTCTAGCTAGGGCCAATCTATGGGCCAAAAATGAGCAAAATCGGTTCTTCGACTTGGGCTCTTAATCCCGCTAGAAAAATATATGTTTTAGGTTTATAGGCAGTGAGTCAGACTTACCCATATGAGTATCGTCGGGTATCTGTTGTGATTCAGAAGTCTTAGGATAATCCTTCTGCGGACGAAAAGCCAGACAGCTTATTAGCATTCATTAGTTTGCAAAGTAGCTCAAATAAAAAGGGTTCAGCAACTTAAAGTTATCCCTAATTCATTCTATAACTGTATATACAAAAATGCTCAAAATTTTTCAAACGACGTTCCCCTGTTTCTTACTCTTTTTCATCATTACTTCCTAGCCAGTTGTTCTCAGAAAAAAAAAATATATTAAAAATAGATAAATGAATAAATAAATAAACAAATAAATAAATAAATACAAATAAATAAATAAAAGTATTGACTAATCTGTGTATGTTTCGGCCATGGATATTGTGGCTGACACAAACCCACCTAATATCAGTTCCATTGTAGTTGCGTGTAAATTTTGCATACGAGCCAAGTGACCCATCAGGTCGGCGCTTATCTCCAGCTTCAATAGCACGAAGCCACTAGGAGTATTTCTAACTCCCACCCTCAGGATGAGATTCTAGTCTATCGCAAGGTTACTCTCCAGTATTAACGCGCCGGTACCCATTTATGGGAGAAAAGCGTCTTGCCCAAGAACAGAACACAATATCCCTGGCCAGCGCTTGAACACGAACCACTCAGCCATGTTTCAGCTAACCATTCAAACTATTCACAAAAGTGATCTGACAAGTGGGGCGTGGACAATAACTACAAATCTCCTTCGGCTTCATCTACAAAAAATTAAATTTCTAGCTGAAGTAGCCCAAGTGAACTAAAATTGCACGATCAAACCAAACTTGATGTGAAAAATACCTGAGGTGGTAATACCGGAAAGATGCTAAGAGTACAAAGTGTTTTATCTTGTTTGAAGAACTTTATTTGCGGGAAGCTTCCAGGCTTTGCCACACGCACTGGAAAGTTTTTTTCGAATGAGTCATCTTCAAGAAATCTGGCAAGAGAAACAAAACCAAGAAAAATGGTTCAATTAAACGCATACCACAGAAGAAATGGGACATCTTCGTTCGCTTTTTATTAAGTTTGAGCTGGAGGCTCTAAAAAATGGTTCCTTCACATTATATACATGTATCTCAAACCATGCAAATCAGGCCCTGTTAAGAGTTTTCGGGATAAGGGATAACTGGCAAAGTAATTTTATGGATAAGGGATAACTGAATAAATAATTATAGGGATAAGGGATAACTGAGATAGTTTTAGGGATAACTAAAAGTAGCTTTGATTTCTCAATTGTCACACATTTGGTCACTTTTGCCGTGGATTTGCATCACGAGTGACCGGTGACGAACAGTAATGGGCCATTAATCAGTCCAAATTTAAGCAAGACCAAATGCGCGCTTAACCTTTCTTATTAACATACTCATTCTCATCAATGGCTTCCCTGAAAGTACTGCACGAAGTTAAGGGTTGCAATTTCAAACAAGGCGATGAGGTACCGGCTATGAAATGCATATGGTCGTTTAGTGAACTTTTCGATTCTCTAAGCAAATGTACTTGAATGTAGTTTGTTTCTGGCAGTCAATGTCATTATTTGGCATGAATTATGGAACTTATAAACGAAAACAAGAATTATTTTTTGACTCTTGTTGGAAACCGCTAAAAATAAATTGAGGTATGTCTAACAATAGACGGATCAAAACCCNCTTGATGACAATGCTACGGATTTTGGTTGTAACAGGCCGCAATTGCAACATGAATGATGAGTCACGAATTGACATTTCAAAACGCTTCATGGCATAAGCGATATGTCCCCCCTATTGTAGAGTACCTGACTCTTGATCGGAAAAATATATACTATTGATCCTTGGTCACAGTATTTTCAAGTGGGGTTGGAAGGGGGTGCGGGAGCGCTACTTTTGGAGGACTGCCTACTTTCTGGGGGTCGCCACTTTCGAGATTTTTAGCGGTCACAATGTTTTGACGTTACTTTTAGGGAGTCGTTGCTTTTGTGGGGTCTATTCCTTCGGAAGCCCTGCGGTATACAGAGAAGTAAGTAAATAGGTCTGAATGGTGTGAAGTTTGTAAGTTTCTTGAACTAATATAACGATTTGTTACTTAGCAAATAGTTGTGCGCATTCTTATAAGGGAATTGACGATAGCGATAGAAGTAAAAGACTAATATCTCTGATCTCAGTCCGTGTATTACCCACCTAAGGAAGCTGGGTTCCTCACAACTTTCTCCACTTGGAACAAGGGCATTTGAGAGAGAAAAGAAAACCTTTTCCCCTTTTTTCAGCGGATATTGGGATCTTTGTTGTCCACGGCAAACCACCTTATATCCTGAAGATATTTCCGTCCATGGTGTATTCTTCTTCGATTGGTATGGGTAACAGGATAGAATCAGTTGCCGCTCTGAGGGTCTTCCAATATCACATAAGCAAGCTTGGAATCCTGCATACTGTTGCACGGAGACGCATTGGTTGAGAAGTCCTGGAATATCGAGCTCTTCAGTTCTTTTGCTAGTGTCAGTCATCAGGGTCCCAAAGCTAAAACGACACAAGCACGGTTAATTAACGTTGACAACTTACAAGTATGCTACTTCATGACAGGAAACACAGGGAATAACTTAAGCAAGCTAGCAAGCATGTGTATCTTTATGGGTCAAAATACTTCTACAGTTGTTTCCCCTCGTTACAGGTAGTTACTAATATTAATACTCAATTCGGCTCCGTGGTTTTGGTTCCGCCGCATTCTTGTTTGGCGTATTTAGAGAAAAACCGCGCTCTCTACTGTTCTCTACTAGCCAATCGTCTCCAAAGCCAAAAAGAGCCACAAAATAATCAAATTAATTTTTTCCCTACATTTGCACCAGTTACTTTGAGTTTTCGTCCGTTTATTACAAACCTACTCCCGTTAATTTGCCCTGCTGTGCAAATTTAAAATCAGGGGTGTACCAGGAGTGCCAAAATTCAACTTCCAGGTAAGTTTCATTTAATTTTAAATCCAACTTGGTCATCAACCCAGGTAGTGGGAGACAGGTACGAGATTTTATAACAATCATTGAGGCATTTTTGCCATACACTGTAAGACAAAAACGAGGCAAACAGTGTCTGGAATTCATAGCAATCAATATTAATTGCCCTTGTTTGCCAAATGCAAAGCCGTGTCACCAATATTGAAGGCTTATTGCAGTAACGTTGGATTGTTATACCATTAGTCAGACCAGCAGCAGACATTGCATGTTGAAATTCCTCTTTGCCGAAAAAAGAGTTTGACGTGGAACAAGTTCTGTTTCAATTCATGAAGCGATGAAACAGGACATCAAGATCTGATAACTGAATTTACTTCAAAGAACTCACTGCAGACCCACCCACGTTCAAACTCTTCAGCAAGTTTTTCGGACTTTGTCCGTTAGAAATAAAACAAACCCAGTTATCAACCTCTGACCTTGGTTTCGACATTTTGCTGCGTGTAACTCGCTCTACGCAAAAGTAGCTGTGTAAAGAAGGTTGATGGTTCTCGGTGGCTTGTAGGAAACTTGTAAACTTTGTTGCTTTGGTAAGCGACCAATTCTTTCGGAGACGCCCTTAACATAAGTAAGTAAGACAAAACCATTTGTGGTAGGCTTTGTTGGTTTTGTTGCCAGCGCTCTTTCACATTCATTGATAAAGCAAGAGGGGTAGTTTTTTCTCTCGAAGCAAACCTTTTACTCGCAGCGTTTCCACGTCGTTTTTCATCGACCGAAACAGCTGGATGAAACCGACCGTCCATCATCTGGAGTACTGAACAGAATCAATTGCAGTCAGTGCGATTTTGTATACTATGGCCAGACCGAAAGATCACTGAAGGCGCTGGTTTCCGAGCACAAAACGGCTGTCTTGAAGTTCAATCATAACTCCAAACTTGCGTGCCATATTCACGAATGTCATCATCTTGTGGATTTTGAAAACGTTGAAGTNCCTTCGTGATGGAGATCTAACACATATTACAGCACGTAATATATTTCGATTGTCAAGTTTCAACGCTTTGAAGCGGAAGGCTATTATTTCAAAAACATATTGGTCTAACCTGATTGGCTAAGAAACGAACGAACAAACGAACTTTGACTCTTATGGTTCAGACTTGATCCCGGTTGAAGTCTTTGCAATGTAAACGACGTATTTCTGGCCTGACATAATGTTTATATATTAAATTTTTCTAATAAACAGATGTTTATAAATTATTTGTTACATCGACTACATGGAATTACATGGAATTTCCTCACAAAATTGTAATGATCCAAACTTATAGTCTTTTACTGGCAATAAATTCATGATTCATGATTTTATTTACACTTTTTCATTAAACAAGGGAAACAAAGAAAAGAAATGACAATGTGCGTACCTGGAATCAGTAGACTTTGCTTGAAATTCCAGAACCCCGTCTTTCAGTTTAGCCGGCGGCTCCAGTTTCTCTGTGATGTCAACCCATTCTTGTGAGCTGCCCCTTTTAATTCGGGAACATAATCGTACCTGGCTTGTTTCCACATTCTGTACTTTTTTCTGGTCTTGTTCCAGAGCAATGGGCAGTGTTATTGAAACGGGCTCTGCAAGCTCACCTTCCATAGGGCAGTTAATGTGAAGGATTGGACCAACAAAAACTCTTTTTTCTTCAAAGTCGTCATTTGGAACATGTTGTAACTGGATAAATAATCAAGCCCCGACGTAAACCTTTTTTAAAAGTACAGAAATACATCTTACACCTTTGATACTGNTTGTGTGGCTTTCGGGGAAATTTTTCTTGTGGGAAACAGTGGGTAGTCCCAAGCGGGCAAGATAGCCCCATCTTGCCAGCTCGGGTAGTCAATCACAGCGCAGGATTTGATACATCTTGCCCGCTCACGGAGCTAGCCATATAACAATTTTAATTACTAATAATATTCCCTTACCTTTATTGTCATGTCCATACCCTTAGACAAGAACCTTCTAGGAATTGTCACACTCGTACCAGGATACTCTGTGACTTGACAAGTAAATTCGGGGCTCTCCAGCGACGCGTCGAATGGAAATGTGTAGGACTTTAGACGACAGATAACAGCATAAAGAGAAAAGCTCGTTATGGTAGCTTGAACAAATTGTAATTCTCTTTGCGATGCAAGAATTTCGTCCAGACTGTCTATAATAAACAGACGAAAATAAGAAAGACAATATCTGGTAACCCTTACTGTTTTTCTATGTGGCTTACTGATACAGTGTGATAGAGTTTAACCTCCACAATATGCGGTGGCCTGTGGTGGATGAAGACCTCTTTGTAATGTGGGCCCCCAAATTATTCCTGTCCTTACGGCCTTAAATTAAGGTGGGGACAAAAGCTTTTCGGCCATTCGGGCCTAAATATTTTTGCTAATAAGGGAGGAGGAGGAAGTAGTCCCTACCCTAGATCCACTACTGATCTGTTCTATGACATAATTTGAATTGATCAATAATTGATCAATACCATTTGCCTTCAGTTGACCCTTTGCAACGCAATAAAAGAGGCACACACACACACGCAAACACTTTACACTCATAGAGAAATCGCAATTCGTACGCGCCAACTTGTGACTGAAATTTTCTGGAAAAAAATTCTGTGGCACTAACAAATCATTCAGGAGTTTATTTTAATCTGTACGCACGAGCAAAGCAAAGTTCAAGATATTTGACCAGACTGTAATTTAAATTTTACATCAATTCTGTGAAATTATTCCATATCGATATTAAGCAACGCACGGTAATTTTCTTTCTTATTTGTTAACATGAAGGGCAACATACCACGTGGAGTCTTTAAATCCTTCCAAGTCCTTTTCTCTAAGTTAATAAGTTCTTTCATCACCAACTCGTATTCTTTTGATTCAACCGCACTATGCGACAAGGCCAGGGTAATACCAGTGAAGTTAACGCCAGCTGGATCATCACACTCAAGTTGTATTACGCTGCTGACCAGTGTTTCATCGTCTTCAAGAGGTACTAACACAGCATTGTGACTCCATGAATAACATGTGATACGTCTGGGCTCCGGCACCGTTTTAGGAGAAAATGCTATCCAAACACCACTTTCTTTGGAGAAGTACGAGGACGCTACCCCATAAACCGTCTCTCTTTTGTGGGAATAGAAAGTATAAGATAAATGTTCGCTATACAACAGGAACAAGGTCTGAAATGGGTTTTATTGAAATCCTAGAGTTAAAATTTTAACTGCCAGATGAAAAATGACGCATTTTCTAACTGGCAGAGATGTACAAATGTTACTGATTGCTAAGAAATGGACTGAGATATATACTGATGCCTAAGAAAGTGCATGATGAAAATTAGATAGTTGATTTCTCACTGGAACTGGCATGGCGGCCGAATGAAACACGTTTCGCCGAGCTCCTACTTTTGGTCGCCCATGAAAGTTTAAATAAAAAAAAAAAATTCATGCCACCAAAGCGAAAGGACAGACCCCTATCTTCGCCGCCATTATTTAAAGGGTCAAAAAAAGTCACCGGACGAAAACCGATCGAGCGAGAAATGAGACAAAATTGTTAAAGCTTTCGACATGGCGGAGAACCTAAGTGTTAAAATCGAAGCAATTTTGGACGGCATCGAGCTTCATACAGATCAGTATCGCCTGGGAAAATAAAGAGCGAAAAAAATAGGAGTGAGAATGAGAATCCGAATATACTTGCTTTGCTGGTTGGAGAAGAAGCCGTACTTTCTTTATATTGTCTCGGACGAGGATCACCAATAACTTCATAAATGCTTTTAAAGGTGTTATACATCTCCATGCGTGTTCTCTTACCGCTGCGTTTTGCCAGTGGGCTTGAACTCTAACTTAACCTATGGATTAAAACCTCAAGTCAGTAACCTCAAAACTGTCACTGTTTACAGACGATCCATTTTCCAAGTTAAGTGGCTCATAGCCACTTTAATTAGACCGATGACCAAGGTAGAGACGTTGGTGAGGCCTACGTTGGGCCGATGTCAAACCGCTATCAGGCCAATGTGAGCCTAACGTGATGTCGCTGTACGGTCGATGTTAGGCTGAGGTGAGGCCGATGCAGGAAAGAGAAAGCCACTGGTGGGGATGGTGGGATTGGAGGAGAACAAGAAAGTTCACAAGAAAGTGACTGATCATCTTCTCGTTCTCAATCTAGCGTAATAGAGCGTATAAAATAGCGTATAGCTCCTTGCTCACGCATTCAAAATTAAGTTTGTAATCGACACGAA